CCCCCCCCCCCAAAAAAAAAAAAATGAAAAGCAACATGAAAATGAAGGTTCAATCATCCAGGGCAAAAGTATCTTGAAAGGTTAACTCAGGGCAACTGGACCAAAGTTGATTAAAATGGAGATGTTTCGTTACTCATCCAAGTCACTTCTTCGGTCCAGATGAGAATTTGGCAAGGTGGAGAGTCCAGAGGGCCATCGGGAATAGAAGGAAAGAGAGGATAGGGTAGGGTAGGGTAGGGTAGAATAGAATAGAATAGAATAGAATAGAATAGAATAGAATAGAATAGAATAGAATAGAATAGAATAGAATAGAATAGGAAATAATAGAATAGGAAATAGAATAGGAGGAGAGGAGAATAATAGAATACAATAGGATAGAACAGAATAGAATAGAATGCTTCATTGGCCAAGTGTGATTGGACACACAAGGAATTTGTCTTGGTGCAAATCCTCTCGGTGTACATAAAAGATACATTCATCAAGAGTCAAGAATCATCAGATCCAACACTTAATGATAGTCATAGGGTTCTATAGTCATAGGGTTCTATAGTCGTAGGGTGTTTAGTAAGTAGAGTATAGTCATAGGGTACGATGAGAAAGAACCAACTCTCGCCTGTTCCCCCTTCCTGTTTGCAGGTGGCCAAGTGGACGGGTGACCTTTTCAACAGAGGGATTTACGACATCTACGTGGCCTTGCGTGGGGTCCCCCTGCTGGAGTGGGAAGTCAGAGCGGAGTTGGACAAGTAATGTCGGCCGATCTTAAGGCTGGGAACCTCGGCCAGCTTGGACTCCAAAGCGGCCTGGCTCGCTTCCGAAGCCCGCTTTTGATCTCATCCCACCTTTTCTGTCGCCCAAAGGCTCAGAGCGAGCGACGTCATGGAGCCCAACCTGATGTACGTCTACCCGCACACCCGCATCCAGTCCCTGGTCAGCATTCTCCGCACCACGGTCCATCATGCCTTCCCGGTGGTGACGGAGAACCGGGCCTACGAGAAAGAATTCATGAAGTGGGACCAGCTCATCAGCAACAATATTAAATTCAAGGTGAGTTGTTGGTCGGCGGCTTCCTTGTTCCTCTGGGGAAGAAACCGCGGCAAATACTGAGGGTCGACTCCGTGGCTCAGCTTTGAAAGCACCAGGGTTTTCAGTTTTGTGCACTGTGTGTGTTAGTATGCACTGATTTCGTGAGCTTAGGAGACTTAACTAGGGCAGGGGTGTCAAACTCTATTTCATTGAGGGCTGCATCCGTGTGTTTGACCTCGGGGTGGGTGTGGCCAGCTCAACGCCACTGGTGTTGGGGGGCACCTGTGCTGGCCGGGTGCGAAGGCAGGACTTCCCTCAGTCCCTCCGTCCCTCTCATTATAATCTTCCTTCCTTCCTTCTCCTTCCTTCTTCCTTCCCATCTTTCCTTTTTTCCTCCCTTGCTCTCTTTCCATCTTTCCTTTTTCTCCTCTTTCTCTTTCTCCTTTCCTGACCCTTCTTGGATGCTCCAATGAAAAAGGAGAAACGTTTCTCCTTTTGTTTTGTTTTGCTTTTAGTTTGTTTTGCTAGCCCTCTGCCAGCGAAAGCGGAGCCCGGGGACCCCCGCATGTGGCCCCTCCCCGGTTTTGGTTGTGACAGCCTCCTGCAGCCCTCTGCCAGCGAAAATGGGGGGGGGGGTCCTTTCATCAGCCTTGGAAGCTTCAAGGCTGCCACATTCAGTGCCTGGGAAATTGGGAGGGGGGGTTTCATAATGGGGTAGAATATTAGGCAAAACAACACTCTTTCTCAGAGAGTTAAGGACATGTCGCCCCGCACCTGGAGGGGAGTGATTGGGAGGAATGTCTCCCGTTGGGACGAAGATTTGATTGGGCCTCGTGATGGCCTGGTGGGTGCAGCAGGGGATGGATCTTTGCATTTCTTTGGGGGAGGGAAAACCTGGAACTTTCAGATTTGGGTTTTCCCAGGTGTGCCAATATGACAACTCTAATAAAATGGAACTTTGAGGGACTGTTTGTCTCGGAGTTTATTGGTTTGGAGTTGGTCAGTCGGAACGCTGACACCTTTGCTGTTTTCAGGGCTGCCCACAGGCCAGAACTAAGCACCCCGTGGGCCGTATCCAACCCGCGGGCCTTGAGTTTGACACCTCTGAACTAAGGGGAATTAACCAGCTTTTGGGATGTCCCAGTTCTAAAGAATTTGGTCAGTTGTGCATGAATGTTGCCTATTAAAACCTCAAAGCAAAGCAGGATTTCATCAGTGGCTTGCTTGAATTGATATTCCAAGCTTGAAAGGTAAGTGTTCTGAGGGGATATCAGATCTACAGGCTCAACGGAGAAATTGAAAAAAAAGAATTCTCTAGAAAAATCTAAGAATAAATCCCCCCCTCTGTGCTGTTCCAGAACAAGGACATGGTTGTCCAGAGCAACTACAGGGTAGTTTTTATCTTTTTTTAGGCTCACCGGGAATTAAAATGGCCGCAGCGTGTTTAGTATAGTCAGGTGAATCTTGTTTTTGCTTCTGAGGGCTGCCTTGAATGAAATAATCCTGGAAGCTCCCCCGAAATGAACCCTGGGTAGATGGTCTCCCGCTTTCCCTGTTCCAGAAGTCCAGCATCCTCACCCGGGCGGCCGAGCAGCGTAAACGTAGCCAGTCCATGAAGTCGTATCCCTCCAGCGAATTGAGAAACGTGTGCGATGACCACAACGCGGCCGAGGAGCCTCCAGAGACAGAGGACATGCTGCAGCAGATGTTGGAACGGAAGTGAGCGGGGGGAAGGGGGAGGGGGCGTTTTCCCTACGTGGAAGTACTAAAGCCCTGGAAACGCGGAGGTGTGCAAAACCCTGAGCGGAGAGGCCACCGCATCCAGCCGGCAGGATTAGTAGTTTCCATCTTAAACATCAAAAGAGTTTGGCACTTCAAGATCATTCATGGAGCCTGATTTGCTTCAGTGGCCTTGAAGCCCTTCCTTGACTGTGTAAGGAGCAAATGTGGACGTGCCTCAGAAACTGATAAACGCAACCCATCCACCCATCCCACCTCTCCTTCCATCAGATCCCTTCCTTTCTTCCTTCCTTCTTTCCATCCATCCATCCTGTCTCCCCTTCCATTACATCTATCCATCTATCCCACCTCCCCTTCCATTACATCACTTCCTTTCTGCATTCCTTCCTTCCTTCCTTCCTTCCTTTCTTCCTTCCTTCCTTCTTTCTTTCCATCCATCCTGTCTCCCCTTCCATTTCATCCATCCATCCCACCTCCCCTCAGTCACATCTCTCCTTCCTCCCTCTATCCCTCCCTTCCATCCCATCTCCTCTTCCTTCCATCCATCCCACCTCCCCTTCTGTCACATTCTTTCCTTCCATCCATCCATCCCACCTCCCCTTCCATCACCTTCCTTCCTTCCTTCCATTACATCCATCTATCTCCCTTTCCTTCAGTCCTTCCATTACATTATCCATCCATGCATCCATCTACCAATTGCATCCATCCATCCCACCTCTCCTTCCATCACATCTCTGTCAGTCTTCCTTCCATCCATCCATCCATTCTATCTTCTCTTCCTTCAATCCTTCCATTTCACCATTCATCCATCCATAATGAAGTTGTATGTTCCTTCCAGGTACACACCGTATCCCAACCTGTATCCAGACCAGTCTCCCAGTGAGGAGTGGACGATGGAGGAACGCTTCCGACCTCTGACTTTCCACGGCCTGATCCTGCGCTCACAGCTGGTCACTTTACTTGTCCGAGGAATCTGCTACGCAGAGAATCAATCAGTGAGTTCCAACTAAGAAGTGACCAGGCTGTCTGAATAGATGATAATCCATCAGAGTTTTCTGGGATAGGAGAGATTCTTGCATTAATGCCCCAATTAGGTTTTTTTTTTCCCCCAACCAAAAACCCTATTAGGACCTTTTTTAGCGTGTTAGAGAAGTGGTGTCTTTATTTCTTCTTGTTTCACCCTTTCCTAGAGTACCAGTCAACCTCGTCTCTCGTATGCAGATATGTCAGAAGATTACCCCCGCTACCCAGACATCCATGACTTAGATCTCACACTCCTGAATCCGCGCATGATTGTGGTAAGGCCTTCCTTCTCCTTGCAGTTGCTGTAGCTTCTATCTTGTTTCCTAGAAAAGACACTTCTGCATATCTTGGGATTTTTCTAGACTGTTTTCCATGTTTCTGTGTTGGTTTTTGCCGGTTGCCTGTTCAGAACTGGCTACAGAGGACAAATGGATGCAGACTTTGGGGCATTTTGTTCAACTAAATAAATTCCTCTGTGAAAGCCACGGGCTTTTTAAAAAATAAAGGGAAAATAGGAGAGAGAAAAAAGGTAGGGAAAAGGAGACAAGAAAAAGAAAAACGTTTTGTCTTATCTTTGCATTTCTATATTTTATATTTTGATAAACTAATAAAAATTTGAATTGAAGCTCAAGGTTTTTTTTCTCCCCAACAGGACGTCACGCCTTACATGAACCCTTCTCCCTTCACCATCTCGCCTAATGCTCACATCTCCCAAGTCTTCAATCTCTTCCGGACGATGGGGCTGAGGCACTTGCCGGTGGTGAATGCCGTCGGGGAGGTGAGTTTGTCTGCGGAGTCTTTGGAGAAAACGTCCCCTCTTTTCTGAACCGATCTGCTTAAAGTTGAGCCAAGGTGAAAGTTTGAGGTTTCACCACTAGATGTCGCTGCAGGCCCACAAATGGTGCTGAAGCTCTCAGGCAGCCTAGGAAGAAATGCTTGTAACTGTGGGGCGGTTCCTGGGACGACTCGTTCAACTTGCTGCAAAGGCAACTTGAGAGCAACTTTTAAGGGTCCTGGATTTCAGCTCCCAGAATTCCCCAGCCAAATTGAAGCCCACGAGCCTTCAAGTTGCCACCCCTGCTTTAGAGTCTTTCCTCAGAGGGGGAAACTAATATTAAGGGCAGATTCTAAGATGGAAGGAACATTGTCGGACTGCAAAATTCGTTTCCCTCCTTCCCTTCCGGCTCTGCTTTAGTTTGAGGGAGGATCAGGCTTTGAAATTTCAAAATAACTTTATTTTCTTGAGGGAGAAGCGTATCCGGAGTATCCAGGGGAAGTATTTTCCTGCTTGGAATGTGGGTTTCTTGCGCCAATTCCATGGGTTCAGGTTCCCTTGTCTCATTCCTGAGGGTAGAGCTTACGGAGCAGGGCTGCCATCCCCTCTGGGCCGAATTCAGACAAATCACCTGCCTCACTAATTTAGGAAAGGTTGTTGGGAAAGGAATACCGTCCGGAGCTGCGGAGGGAGCACCGTTTGAAGTGGGACGGGGTGAAACCAGAAGGCAGTTGAGTAAGCTTCCTGCATGCTGATAAAACATCCCCAGCCTGATTTTAGAAACGCCGACACTCTGGCCCTTCTGCCGTTTTTTTTGCTTTCACGCTTCACAAATTCACTTGCCTTTTTTTTTTCTCTCTCTCTCTCTCCCCCTCTTCCAGATTGTGGGCATTATTACTCGACACAACTTGACCCACGAATTCCTCCAGGCCAGGCTGCGCCAGCATTACCACACCATCTAACCTCGTCTCCCGCTTCTTCCACCTCCTGAGACAAACCCCACCCCCCCACCCCGCTCCTCCTAGGGATTCCTGGGCCCATCATGCTGCACTTTAGGTCAACCAAACAAGCCCATCATCGTTGTCCTCTTTTGGAGCCGTAAACTGTACATCCTTTAGGCTGGGGTGGCGGTGGGGGGGGGAAAGGCATAATGCGTGGGAGATCTTGAGCACTGGCTGTCCTTGTTCTAGCAGCCATGCGCTTCCCTGTGGGGTTTGGATCCGATCATCACAGGGCTTCTCGGTTGCCCTTTCGGTTACTCGAAAGGATTCCATCTTTACCTTATTCCAGAGAGAGAGAGAGAGAGAATCTCATTCTTCCTCTTTTACCTTGCTGAAGGTTTTTGCAAATCATGCAGACTTCCCTCTTTTGGGCCAGTTGGGGACACCATTCTCTTCAACTTCAAACTTAGCTACCTACGTCTCGGTTTAATTAAGGCATTTGGTAAGATTGAAACAGGACAACGACACTAACAGCAACCCAGCCACAACGATTTTCCGACTGGGGCCTTTTGGCTTTCTGCTCTTCGCACCCTTCTCTCTCCATCCTGACGTCTCTTTTGGGATCAACACCCCCCCCCCCACCGGCAACCAAGCAAAATCTCCTGCTCCGGGGAAAGGTTTCAGATCGAGCCTTCCGGATCCCCCCCCGAAAGTTTGCGAGAGTGGGGATCCAGAAGGGGGTTGGCGGGCGTTAAAGCGTCGGAGCTGCTGTTGCTAGAACAGGAGAGCTGCTGGACCGGGTTTCGAACACAATCGCCTCCTTCGGGTGCCCAGCTTCCAACTGAGCCCCCCCCCTTCGTTTTTTTTTTTCCAAAAAAACAAAAAAAATCTGACACAACAGACAATTCATTGCCAAGTGATTCTGAAGATGCAGAAGGAACCAAGACATTTTGGGGCGGGGGGAGGAATATATTGCCTGGCGGGACCAAACCGGTCTTTGGTGAGGTTCTTCTCCAACCCCTAACAGGCCCTTTTTTGCATGCTGTTTTCCGGCTTGGCTGATACACACACACACACACACACACCCTTCCCCTTCCTCATCCCATCCTCGGTGCTTCCTGTCTTGCTATCTGACAGTTTCCCCCCCCCCGTTTTTTCCTCTGTTTCTGGCTGGGGAGAGTGTTCTCTCCCAATTCTTCGAAATCCCACCTGCAGGGTGTCCCCAAATAAACTTTTGACTCTTCCTGTCGTCCCGGCCAGAGGTTGCCTGGAAGGGGTGGGGGCGGGGGGTGGGTGCATTGCTGAGACCGAAGGCCTTTGTTTCTCTGCAGGGGGTGGCCGTTTTCCTTGCCCTGGCATGACCCTCCCTGCAGAGCACTCCCTTCCCCTCCCTCCTGGTTTGTTACCTTCACCTGAATCTGGTTTTTGCAGAAGGACTGTAATTTCCAGCCCAGGTAGGACCAGAATGGATCTCGGAGGGGCCGGGATGGCTGCATTCAAGAGCTTGTCCATCCTGGCCGGTTGGCTCCCACAAAACCTTGAGCCGGCTGTGACCGGTTTGGTCTTTCTAATAACGAGCCTCATCCCACTGGCTCTTGTGCCGGCAATTCCGGCAGACTCCTGTCTCTGTAGCTTTTGTGTGTGCGTGTGTGTGTGTGTGTAACCTTTGCATAAAGCTCTTTTCAAGGGAAAGCAGAAATTGAGCCTTGGGAAAAGAGCTGATAGAGCCTTGATAAAGCACAGCCATTTGACCCGTTTGGAAGGGGAGGCCGACCTGGGCCCAACTCTTTTGTCCAACCCGGGTTAGAAGACTTAATCGATGCAGCTGCCCCCCCCCCCCCCCCCCCCCCCCTTCCCTCAGGGGGGGTCTGTGGAGGAAAGGGACGGCGGGGGGGGGGGGGGGGGGCGGGGGGCACTCATTCACTCAAAATTTGGCTCAAATCCTCCCCAAGTTCCCAGCGGGAAAGGGACTGCAGTTGGTTGCAGTCTGGAAGAGTCAAATATTGCAAGGTGGCGCCCCCCCCAAAAAACCCCCCCCGTAACCGATTCCTTGCTTATTTGCCCGCTGACATGATCGGCAACAAAATAATGCAATTTTCTGTCTTCGACCGCAAATGGGGCACAGCCGTTTCTTGCACCGGCAAAGTTTTCGATGTGCTCCGATGCTAATTTAAGTCTCCCATCCAGTGCAGTTGTGTTGCTGTTGTTGTTTTTTTCCCTTCCACTTTCCGTTAATAGATTATCTCCGCCTGTTTTGGAGAGACGCAGTCTGGGCGCCGAGCAGAAGCCCAGTGTTTGAATACTGGTTCTGTCTACTCACGACAGGAATGGTTTGTTTTTGTTCACCTCTCCGGAATACTCCGTTTTATCTCCTCCCTCCCCGCTTTCCTAATATTTCTTTGCTCCCGTCTCAACCCCAATGAGATTGCAGCTCCTCCTTTGCCCCCTCCTGCTCTTGACCTTAAAAATATAAGTCGTTTTCCTTTTTCAAGGTATTAACCTTCCCCTGCCCTCTTTATAACCATTTCTGGTTAGAACAGGCTTGTTACCAACTCTCCATAGGCCAGTCTTTCATGGCATCAGCCCATGCAACATTCCCGTTGCAACCTGCATTTTCACAAGACCAAAATTATCCTGGCTAGTTAGTTTTTTACTTGGTTGTACTGAGCCAATTGATTCTAAAGTGCAGGCTATAAATGGCCATTTCGTTTGCGTCTCTGTGTGTTTGTGTTAGGGAAAGAGACCGTATTCTTATTTTCCCAGGAAGCTAAAGTAGTTTTGTTTTGTTCTGCTTTGCTTCAAGAATTCCAGACTTCACGTGTGAGTGAGTGAGTGAGTGTGTGTGTGTGTGTGTGTGTGTGTGTGTGTGTGTGAGAGAGAGAGAGAGAGAGAGAGAGAGAGAGAGAGAGAGAGAGAGAGGAAAATAATAATTTATTTGATTCTACTTGAATGCTTTAAAAGTGGATGGGAAAAAAATGCCAAGCTAATATTTTTGCCATTTTGTATGATTGCTGGCCAGTTGTAACTTCCCTCTTCAATTCATTTAGGGGGTAAAAAAACTTGGATTCTCAGCTGCGTTCATCTGTCTCACCCAATAGTTGGCATCTCTCTAGGCTGGGGATAAAAAATGTTTTTTTTTTTAATTTAAACCGTGTAAGGTAGCCCTAAAAATTCAGGTGACACTACAGTCCATTGTCAAAAGTAGGTGCCCCATTTGTTAGCAGGTTCTCGCTTCACAATCCAGATGACAACTGTGGTTGTGTTAATGTGTGCATAATCAAAGAGTTAAAATTCCAATTAGTTGATACCCTTCAGGTTTGTAAAAAGATGCGGGAGGACTTCTCAGTCTTATTTGTCCCGGCTTAAAATCATAGAATCGAACAAAGAGAAAGCGATTCCTGTAAAATGACGCTAAATCTCTCCTGCATTCCACGAATTGTGTTGAGAATTGTCTCCTGACTTACAATGATGGAAGAGGGTTTTCTCGCCTTCCCAGAAAACTCTAATTAACATTTTGCACGCCAATTTTGGCTAGACCCACTTCAGTTCTGGGTTGATAGGCCGCTCAGAATCCATGTCTTGGGATTTTCATGGATGCTGGGGCAGTCTAGGAATTCTCTTTGTTTTCTTCTGCTCTCTCATCCCTTAAACAGTATTAATATCCATTCCAGAGGGAGAAGGGAGGGACATTTCTTCAGCTAATAAGCTCTTAACAAATATTTTGATTTCCAATTGCACTTCCCCTTCGTCAACGTGAACCGAATCGCGGGGAGCTAATTTTGTGTGCATACTATTTTTGTTTTTAATAATGTTTCAAATCATTCTGGGCAGAGAATGTGCTAGGTATATATATTTTTTCAAATTTTGGTTTGAGCACTTGTATTCTATAGCCATGGTCCTTCTCTTTAAAAAAAAACAACCCACAATAAAATTCCTCCTTTATGTCTTTGGGGCCCCGTCCCCACCCTGTCTCTGTCATTGTGACTCTTTCTCGCCGTTCTTGATTTACCCTCCCCAAGGTTTACATTTTGTTGCATTTTTATTTCATTTTATATTCAGACACCAGCATTTTCATCCCCGGAGACATTTAAAAGGCTTCTTGGAATGCTTAAAAAATGGAGTTATAACCCTCCTCTCTTAGTCTCCATGATATGCTATTCAAAGGTAGAATGCTTCAGAACATGCAGGCTCGCTTTAATTGTCTCCCAGTTTGCTTTGCAGATGTGTTGGACTTTAGCTCCCATGTATATTAGCCATAGATGACAGTAATAGGGTGCTTATTTATTTTATTTAGATTTCCCCCCTGAATTTATTTAGAAGAAGGCAGCAAAGAGCCTGAATTGGAAGAGATTTCTTTTCAGGTGGGGAGGGGGAGTAGAACTCCTTAGCATCAGAGCGTATTAATAATAATATAGAAAATACTGAAGCTCTGATGGTCATTTCGATAAATCCTTTCTTAGTGAGCACCTAGAAGCCAAGAAGAACATGCATGCCAAATTTCAAGTTTGTAGGCTTTGCGGTTCTGGAGGTTTTGTGATGATGTGTGAAGGGTATTTTGCTTTCATATATATATAGATATATAATATATATTTGTTGATTAACCTATATACGCCATATCCAGGTACAGGTTCAAATACATATTACTAATAAAATTCCAAACACAATTAAAAATGAGAGTAGGGTAAAATACAATAGTTATAGCAACGATGGTGAACCTTTTTGTTGTGGTGTGCTGAAAGTGCGTGCGTGCCAGCACCCATAATGCAGTGTGCCCTGCCCCCCTGCACATGCACACGCCACACCCCTGCCCTCTCACTTGCACTGCACATGTGCGTGCCTCCCCGCTGATTTTTGGCCCGTTTGAGGCTGTTTTCACCCTCCCAAAGGCTTGAGGGAAGCCCGTTTTTCGGCCTCCCGAGGCTGCAGAGGCTTCCCTCGAGCCTCCAGGAGGGCAAAAACAGCCTCAAACGGGCCAAAAATCAGCTGGGAGGTATGCGCAGTGTAGGTAAATTTAGCTGGGCTTGCGTGCCCGCACCAATGGCTCTGCGTGCCATCACAGAGTTATAGGATAAAATGCAATAATTTAATACATGAATATGTAAAGTAGAATAAAATGACATAAAATTATATTTTTGTATCCCCCCTGCAATCTACCCCAATCAGGCTCACCTATGCTGATTTCAGTCGGACCATTTTAGTCAGAAATTGTGCTGTATTAAATGTTTTCGGATTCTGGTGTTTTAATGTGAGCCTCCCACTGGTCCATACGTTTAATGTGAATCAAGGTACCTCTCAACAGTAACAGGTTTTTAACACACTCGGCTGTGTTTTTCCTCCGATGAATACATTTCTCTCCCTTCCCTACGGAGACAGTTGCATTCATAAGACATTCTTAACTCGCTAACAGTGGATTTGCACAGTGCGTTAAATTACAAACCAATCCGTACCTGCGTTTGCCCAAGGCATTAAATTCCCACACATGGAGGGGAAAAAAACACATTTAAAACTACCATAGCCGAGTTTCCTATTTTATGTGTGCACAGTTGCTGGGTCATCCTGAATAAGCTTTTAATGCAACGGTGGTTGGTTTCAGGGTTTGTTTTTTCAGGAAAGGTGCCCATCTGTTTTTATAATCTTGTTTTTATGTTCTGTCTCTGAAATATTCTCTTAGTTACCCCTTTGAACCTGAAAACGTTTTGAGATGTTTGAGCCCAGTTTTTGCCAACTGGAAGTTTTCCCTTCTTGGAAGCAAAATATCCCACTGATATCTCTGGAGCAGCAAACAACTTTAAACTAGAGTGATTTTTTTTTTTTTGCAATCCCCAGTCAGTTGAGATGCTGAGTTACACAAATCATTTACACAAACACACACACACACACAAGAAAGACAACTACACACAAAGGTCATTAAAATCCTGTTTATTTAATCACACCAGTGTTCCACAAAGCCTTTGCTGCGTGCAGATTAAATAAAACCCCTAATTAAATATCTTCTCCCTGTATCCCAACAATTCCACAATGCTTGTTGATGCATCCGTTCAAACTTGAAGAGATGAAAAAAATACCTCTCAAAATCGATTCCTTTAATAATTTAAAGAATGAGGCGACACCATGCGGATCTTTCCAATTTTCCCATGAACCCAAAATTTAGGAGAGTTTTTTTGGGGGGCCACAAGCCATTTTAAGGGGTTTTTCTTTGGCCTGGGCAATTTGGAAAAACAATATTATTCCTCATCACAGTCTCTTTACCTTCGTACTTCAGTGGGTTTTATTTATGGGGAAGAAAGTAAGATAATGTTAATACTCTGTGAATGGATGGAACTCGCCCTGTCTCTGTCCTTGGTGCTGAATTTAAGAATTCCTGGTTTAAAGTCATCCAGGAGATTAAATGCATAGATCGGAGGGAAAAGCACCTATGTATTTAAATTCACGTGACTAGGGGAAAATGTCAGATTTGTTTCCTATTCTTGACCTGAGAACGGTTGGCTTGCAGGTTCTGTGGTCTTGCTTGGACCTCAAAATTGCCTTGTGGGGATACATTTCAGCTGGAGCAAAACCCTGATAATCTAGGATCAGTGTATTAAATTTTTCCAGTGGGACACGCTCTTGGCAGGAAGAATCTTCTAGCCATAACGAAACAAAAACGCCTTTGGGATAAGATGACTTACGAGGTGATTTCTTCCACACAGTTTCACTTCTGTAAAAAAGAAGAAAAAAATGGTTTGCCTTGACTACCTATTGATGTTTGGAAATGGCATTCCTGTGAAGATTTTGAGTTTATTGTACAGGAAGAAGTAAGGCAGTTTAGAAATCAAAACACATGAAGAATCGCATCAAACATGTAGCAGAAAATTGGCTATTTTTTTTCCTGCCTTTCTCGAAGCTAATTTTCAAGGTCTCCCTCCCTCCTTATAATTTCCCATTTATCTGGAAAGAGAGATACCCATAAAAACCTAACACTTAAAAATATATAAATGCAAAACACCTTTAAGATAACTCTCTTCTGCTCATTTAGACCTGCTCCCCCGCAAAAAAAATTCTGCTCATTGGCCCCTTTGTGGAGTTTCAGATTGTTCACCCACCCACCCTGAAACTTTATATGAAAATAATGTAATCAATACTACTTTAACGGTGCTACAAATAATAATCATAATATTTAATATCTGTTAATTATAGTTAACAGAATAACTGAGTTGGAAGGCACCTTATAGGTCATCTAGTCCAACACACACACCCCGCCCAAGCAGGAGACCCTACACCATTTCTGACAGATGACAAAAATATGGACAAGGCCACTCTTGCTGTCAGCTGACCATCCAGATCTGGTCACTCAATCTCGCCAGTAGCCACCTCACCTTCAGGACCAGGGACTACAGAAGATTAATTGACACCCTGTTGACCTTCCATCATTTTGTGACCGCTTCTTAATTCCCATTGATCTGCTGTGGTGCGCTGGTAGCCTGTGGAGATGGCAGGAGAGTCGGACAGTGGAGAGGAACAAGGGCCAGTCCAGGAGTCTGGGGAAGACTCGGACGAGGGTCCTGCATCCGATACAGAGATGGGGCCAGGGCCATCGGGGAATGGGGTGCTGCCCCCAAAGACTCTAGAGTCTGGCAGCAGCGAGGCAGAGGAACAGGGGGAGCCTATTCCCAGTGCACTTGTGCACAGAGCTGCCAGAAGGAAGGAACAGTTAAGGCAAAAGGGGCAACTCAGGAGTAAGGAGGTGACTGGCTCTCCCATAAGACTTAAAGGAGGAGCAAAGGGACAGGAACCTTTGCAGGAAGCAACTTTGTTCATTCTGGTCAGTTTGAAACCTGAAGCTCAGTGTTGAAACTGTGTCCCATTTGGCCTTGTATAACTAATTGGAAATTTGGTCGTTGGCAGCATTTCAAGGAAGATAAAAGTGTGTGCTTATCAGACTTATCCTGAAGGACTTTGGCAAACTTCCATGGGATTATTTACAAACTGTTTGAGACTCATTACGGGCTGTGAATGACTAAAATTCACAGCTGTTGAAATAAAGAAAAAAGAGTTTTGGAACTAACGTGTGTTTGTTAGTGTCTTCATAAGCCTTGGTCAGAACATTATCTTCTCCTAGGATAGGCCCATCAACTCTTGGGAGTTGGCATTGAGCACTTGACCATGACTGGGATACTTGGCTGGCCGACAAGAGCTTCAGTTGCAGAACTGATTCTCCCGCAGCAATTCAACTGACATTGCACTCCTCCCCATGTTGCAACTTACATATCTTCTGTGGCAGCCAAGTCCGCTCACCGACCCTATTCTGTCCAGCCGTTGTCCGAAGCAGCTGGATATCCTGCGGGGGGCGTTGAAGAAAACCCCCAGTTTGTTCCGCATGGCTGCTGCCGGGGCTCTTTCGGGAGGTTGCCAGTTGACGCGGCCAACGGTGCCGTCGCTTGAGGGTCTTGAGTATTCGCCATCCCAGGACGAGAGAAGCTGGGCGGCATCGCCCTCTGGTTCCTCGTTGGCTTCATCCAGATTTCGTTCGATTTCTTCCTTTTTGGGCAACGCCACTTGACTTTCAATCCGCTGCAGAAGATCCTAAGAGCAAAAGGGGGAAACTAAAAACGTGGTTTGCAAACTCTTCTACTAAACTCAGTCTCTGTTTGGAAGCGTTTTGTCTGTATTCCCTTTGGGGCAGGGGTGCGCAACCCCCAGTCCATGGACTGGCAGCTGTCCACGACATGCCAGAAAGCGGGGCACCCAAACAAGCAAAGCCCCCTCCACGGAACCGATCCCGGATGCCCAAAGGATTAGGGCCACTACTCTAAGGTATGAACAGGCATGTCAGGGGAAAAAAAAAAGGTTAGAGCTGTCCAGGTATGTCTTCAACCATTTGCTAGTTGCAGTGAAAATTCAACTTTTTTTTCAGCTGATTTCTTTAGTTTATCACAATTGGAGGTTTCAGTGGAACAACTTGACTCCAGAAATTATGAATGCTCCAACACTGGAAGTTTTTAAAAAGAGGTTGGATAACCCTTTGTCTGAAGTGGTGTAGGGTTTCCTGCCTAGGCAGGGGGTCAGACTGGAAGACCTCCAAGGTCCCTTCCAACTCTGTTATTCTATTCTATTCTAGTCCAACCCCTGCTCGTGCAGGAGACCCTATATCATTTCAGACAGATGGTTGTCCAATCTCTTCTTAAAAGCCTCCAGTGATGGAGCAGCCACAACTTCTGGACTTAACCCGTTCCAATGATGGATTGTCCTCACTGTTAAGAATTTTCTCCTTAGTTCTAAGTTGCTTCTCTCCTTGATGAGTTTCCATCCGTTGCTTCTTGTCCTGCCTTCTGGGGCTTTGGAGACTATATGGACCCCCTCTTCTTTGGGGCAGCCCCTGAGATATTGGAAGACTGCTATCATGTCACCCCTAGTTCCTTCTTTACATTAGACTAGACATTTCCAGTCCCTGCAACTGTTCTTCGTATGTTTTAGCCTCCAGTTTCACCCTAGTAATTTGGGAAAGGAAATATTCTTAATGGCTTCCACCCAAGGTGTCAACGCCAGATTTTCATTGCTGGTGAACCGGAGCAAGTTTGAAGAACCCATAAGTACGTCTGCTTTGATCTAATAAATATATTTACAACTAGAAATCCTGACCTTTGGTAGATTTGGAGACTCCAAGCTGAGTCAAGAGAAGATGGGCAAAGACTGGAAAACGAGGCAAGATCAGACTGAGTGGTCTTTTTCTCAACTGCGCTAGAGTGTCTTTATCTTGGACCAGTTCACACACACATCCTATACAATTCTGTGACCTGTTAAGAGATTAACCTATTGAGTAGATCCTTTCTGGGTTGGACACAGACTTCCAGGAAATATCCCCGTGGTTTTGAAGGCCTCACAGCGATCATAGCTATGTGTGTTGTCTGCTATTGATCAATATTCCCTTTTTTCTAGACTGGTAAAATAAAACTCAAATACTTTGGCCACCTAATGAGAAGGAAGGACTCCCTGGAGGAGAACCTAATTCTGGGAACGACTGAGGGCAATAGAAGAAGAAGGGGGCGACGGAGAATGAGGTGGCTGGATGGAGTCACTGAAGCAGTCGGTGTGAGCTGAAAGGGACTCCGGAAGATGGTAGAGGAAAGGAAGGCCTGAAGGAACGTTGTCCATGGGGTTGCGATGGGTCGGCCATGACTTCGCAACTAACAACAAAAACAAACAAAGGGCCGTCTAGAGAAAAGAAAGACTAGGGGTGAAATGATCGCAGTATTCCAAAATTTGAGGGAGCTGCCCCAAGGAAGAGGGGGTCAACTTCTTTTCCAAACCACCAAAAGCCACGACAAGCAACAGTGGATGGAAACCAAGTGAGGAGAGAAGCAACCTGAATGAAGGAGGAACTTCCTAACAGGGAGGACAATTAACCAGTGGAACAGCCTGCCACCAGAAGTTGTGGGGTGCTCCAACACTGGAGGTTTTTAAGACAGCACCCTGTCTGAAATGGTGTATGGTCTCCTGATAGAGCAGGGGGTTGGACTAGATGACCTCCAAGGTCCTTTCTGATTGAATTTAGAAGGTGCCTGCCAACCGGAATGTCGTTTCAAGAAACGTCCCTTCCCATCTACTGCTCTCTGAAGCCGCCTGTAGACCTTGGTGTGCCAAGCAAGGCTCCACCAACCATTTGAGGTTCTGTCCAAGTTAGCCGAAGCTTGTCCCAGGTTCGACCCAACCCCAGGGGGTTCTTACCTTGAAATCCGCTAGTTCTGACTGAGAGATGGACTGGGCCCCAGATGGACCTTGGAGATGAGCCGCAAAGAACAGGGCCAGCAGGAAAGGAACCCTTGAACCCATCATCCTCTCCAGCGCCCCAGTCTTCCTCCGTCCTCTGCCCATTAGTTGTGCTGATTCCGTGCCCTCTATCTTTATATCTTTAAGGGGCGGCAAAGCTCATGCCTGAAGAATGAACCCCCACATTCCGTCACCCTGGCTCGATAAAGGATCTCAGACACTGGAGCCAGGAGAAGATTCCCTTTTAAAGTGATCTTCGTGGGGCGGAAAGCAACCTTCTGCAGTGTCTGACCAGCGGGGACCGTCCTGGTGGAACCCGTGACACACACATTCCTTGGGCCTTGTCTGGAAGAGCTTTCACACTTCCTAGGTGTGAAAGAAGCTCTAAAAAATCCCCCTTTATCTGTTTTCGGCAAGACAGCCATGTAGGAGGGAGCAGGAGGTGGTTTTAGGAGCGGAAAATCCGATTGGCTGGGGAACGCGGGCCTGCTTGGATACCCCAACAACAAGCCATGGCGGATGTGCGCTGATCTCTTAGATAGATTCAGATTGACAGAGTTGGAAGGGGCCTTGTAGGTCATCTAGCCTAACCCCCACCCACCCCGCCCAAGCAGGAGACCCTACACCATTCCTGACAGAGGGCAGACCAGCCTCTTCATGAAAGCTTCCAGGGATGAAGCTCCCACACCCTCGGAAGGCAATTTCTATTCCATGGGTTGATTGTTCTCCCTGTCCGAAAATTCCTTGTCTGGCCTTCGGGGGCTTTGGAGAATAGCTTGACCCCCTTCTTCCTCCTCCCTGTGGCAGCCCCACAAATATTGGAAGGCTGCTCTCCTGTCTCCCCTGGTCCTTCTCTTCCCTAGACCAGCCAGGCCCATATCTGCTATTTAGTTTATTCTCTGTTCCTGATTTGTTATCAAGCAAACCAGAAGGATTCCAGAAACTAAGGTGCTTGGATTAACCTCCAGGATGATGGGTTTCTGCAGAACTGAGGGTGTAAACACTTAACTTTTCCCATGGAAAATCTTCTGAGTGTGACGGGATGTGATACACCAAGGGGTGGAGGGAATTATGCTGATGGCATTCCTGTCTTGGGGAAAATAACCCTCCATTTATCCGGCTAAGGAAAGCGGATTCACACTTGATCACAAATGTACAAGGATGTGAACAAGAGTGCAGAGAAGAGCAACCAGGATGATGAGGGGACTGGAGGCTCAAACATACAATGAACGGTTGCAGGAACTGGGCCTGGGTAGTCTAGGGAAGAGAAGGACCAGGGGAGACAGAATAGCAATATTTGAAGGGAGAGGGAGAGAAAGAAAAGGAAAGAGAAAGGAAGGAAGGAGAGAAAGAAAAAAGAGTGAGAGAAAAAGAAAGAGAACAAAAAGGGAGAGAGAGAGGAGAGAAAGAAAAAGGAAGGAAGAAAGAAAGGAGAGAAAGAAAGAGGGAGAGGAAAAGAGAGTGATTGGAGGCTAAAACATACAATGGAACGGTTGCAGGAACTGGGCCTGGCGAGTCTAGGGAAGAGAAGGACCAGGGGAGACAGGAGAGCAATGTCCCAATAGTTGAGGGGCTGCCACAGAGAGGAGGAAGGGGGTCAAGCTATTCCCCAAGGCACCCCAAGGCCAGACAAGGAATAATGGATGGAAACTGACCAAGGAGAGATTCAACCTGGAAATAAGGAGAAGAAATTTTCTGACAGGGAGAACCATCAACCCATGGAACAGAAGTTGCCCTCGGAAGTTGTGGGAGCGCCATTGCTTGAGACTTTCAAGAAGAGATTGGACTGCCATTTGTCAGAAATGGTGTAGGGTCTCCTGCTTGGGCTCGGGGTTGGACTAGATGACCCATAAGGTCCCTTCCAACTCTGTTAATCTATCTATTACTGGTGGGTGTGGCCAAAGTATTTTATTTATTTATTTATTTGATTTGATTTGTCAATTGCTTACAAGATAATAGGTATAAGTATATACATAGTTATGAATACATGAAATGGGTACATATAAGAAAAATAAAAGAAACAATAGGACAGGGACGGTAGGCACGTTGGTGCGCTTATGCAGGCCCCCTACAGACCTCTTAGGAAAGGGGTGAGGTCCATAGTAGACAGTCTAAGGTTAAAGTTTTTGGGGGTTGGGGAAGAAGTAGAAAGTAGAAAGCAGATGCGGCCAAACAAGATTGACGCATTTATAATCTTTAGCAATGTGATCCAATTTTTTCCTGGCCTTTTAAACAGACTTTCTCCAAGACGCTATTTATTTCTTTATAGATGTGATTTGCCCAGCTCCTCATCTGGGATCAGTGACATTTCCTCCCCTGGCTCTTAGATCTGGAAGCCGTCTCTTTCCTTTGCTTCACTTCAACCTCTTCAGCTAAGAACGTGATTACAGGTCGCCCTCAACTTACAACGGCTCATTTTGCGACTGTTCAAAGTTACAACTCCCCTGGGGGTAAAAGGGGACTTATGGCCATTTTTCACATGGCCATTGCAGCGTCCAAATTCAAATTCAACTGGTTCACACGTAAGACGGTTGCGTTGTCTACAGAGTGATGTGATTCCCCCCTTTTGTGACTTTCTGGCAAGCCAAGTAGATGCGGAAGCTGGATTCATTTTGCAATCCTGTTCTTGACTTCATCACTTCAGTGATTCACTTAGCAACGGTGGCAAGAAAGGGTGTAAAAAGAGACAAAACTCACTTTTTAAAAAAGTCTTGCTCAACAACATACATTTTGGGCTCAGTTGTGGCCAAAAGTTGAGGACTATCTATATTTTAGACTTCAGAAGGGAAGGAAAAAGAGAAAAATGGACAGAGAGGAGTTGGATACCTTAAATCCTTGATGGGGATTAAGACGGATAAATAGCGATAGCAATAAGCACTTATATACCATTTTATAGTGCTTTTACAGCCCTCTCTAAGCGGTTTACAAAGTCAGCATATTGCCTCCCCCAACAATCTGGGTCCTCATGCTACCGTCCTCGGAAGGACAGAAGGCTGAGTCAAGTTTGAGCCAGTCAGAATCGAACTGCATGCAGTGGGCACAGTTTGCCTGCAATACCACATTCTAACCACTGGGAGGGAGGGAGGGAGGGAGGGAAGGAAGGAAGGAAGGAAGGAAGGAAGGAAGGAAGGAAGGAAGGAAGGAAGGAAGGAAGGAAGGAAGGAAAATAGCAATAGCACTTATATACTGTTTCATAGTTTGGTGGTTCAAATGCCTAGCGCTGCATAATGGAGTGAGCTCTCATTATTTGTTCCAGCTTCTGCCAACCTAGCAGTTTGAAAGCATTTAAAAAATGCAACTAGAAAAATAGGGACCCCTTTGGTGGGAAGGGAACAGCAACCTTCCGTGCGCCTTTGGCCTTTAGTCCTGTCGGCCACATGACCACGGAGACATCTTTGGACCGCTCTGGCTCTTCAGGTTTGTAACGGAGATGAGCACCGGCCCTGGAGAGCCAAAAACGACCAGCACGTATGTGCGAGGGGAGCCGTTTCCTTACTGCTTCACGATGCTTTTACAGCCCTCTCTAAGCGGTTTACAGAGTCAGCCATGTTGCCCCCAACAATCTGGGTCCTCGTTTTACCGACTTTGAAAGGATGGAAGGCTGAGTCGACCTTGAGCCAATCAGGATCGAACTGATGGCAGTGGGCAGAATTAGCCTGCAATGCTGTATTCTACCCATTGGGAGGGAGGGAGGAGGGAAGGAAGAGCCTTTATACTTATATACCACTTCATAGTGCTTTACCGCCCGCTAAGTGGTTTACAGAGTCAACATCTTGCCCCCAACAATCTGGGTCCTCATTTTACCCACCTCGTAGGGTAGGAAGGATGGAAGGCTGAGTCAACCTTGACTCTGGAGAGATTTTAACTGCCAAATTACAGGCAGCCAGCAGGCAGCAGAACTAGCCTGCAGTACTGCACTATAACCACCGTGCCACTGCTATAAATCTAGCACTTTAGCAACCCAGCCGCAATTTTAATACTTTTCAGGTCTCATAGTGTGTGTAAATTGGGGGTGTCCCTTTGAGTGTGGAGGGGATCAGTTATAGAGCTCGATCTACAAGCAGAATTCAGCACCAAGTTTCTGTTGTTAAGTGAGGCGTTTGTTAAGTGGCCTTTGCCTGATCTTTAAAACCTTCCTTGCCAGAGTTATTCAATGAATCCCTGTAGCTGATAAGTTAGTAACCCCGTTGTTAAATGAATCTGGCTTCTCCCCCTGACTTTGCTCATCAAAAAGGTCGCAAAAGTGGATCAGGTGATCCGGGGATTCAGCCACAGTCCTAAGAATGAACCAGTAGCCAAACGTCCGAATTTTGATCATGTGGGGCTAATAACAACGCTCACGTGAAAAAGGATCTTAAGTCACTTTTTTCAGGGCCATGGTAACTTTGAATGGTCACTAAATGAGCCTGTCAGGATTCCACAGTTCACCCGATTAAATCATGAGCCTCGAGCCAAACTTCCATTTATTGGGAGTTAACATGCCGACACTGCCTGGGTGGCAGTCGACTCTGAGACACATCATTCATTGTCCCCCTTGACCCCGGTTTCCACCCACCCACCCCCTGGGTGTATCATAATTCATGTTCTCCAATGGGACACTTCCATAGCCCAGAGTCATCAATCATGTTCTCCAATTAGGAATTTTCAAGGGCAGAAATTCCGGTCACTTAGTTACTATCTTTGAAAAACTATTTATGGAATGCACTTTCACTTTCCAAGCTGCCACACTACTCTTTCAAACCCCCTTCTCCTCTCCCTTTCTGTTCGCAATTCTAAAAAGACCATAGAAATATTTTATGAGTTGTAAGTCGAGGACTACCCGTCTCGGGAATGTGGATGGAGGCAGTTGGACTGTGCAGATGTCTGTTCTGAAAAGAGGCAAACGTCTTTAAAAACCGCAAAGGGAGCGGAAGAGTCGAAAGCACGCAACACAATCCCAGACCACAAAACAAGAGTCAGATAATCGTAGTTTTAATTATTGTTTCAAGCTAAGTTCTCTGTGCTGAAAATAAGAAAACAAATCATTTTTTTCTTTGTTGGAAAAAAGGAAAAGGGGGGCAGAAGAAGAGAAGCAAACAAGGGCAGGTAATAAATAAGTTAATAAATAAATAAATAGGGGGAGCGCGCTCTCGATCTGTCTCCTAGTGCTCACAAGTTGGAAAAAAATCTTCAGAAATTCACACGCCGCAGAAAAGGAGCGACTTTTAGTGTCTTCTGGGTCCTGAAAAGCAAAGAATGAAAAAACAAATTTGGTTAAGAAAGGAAAAAGCCAAGCTTGATAGGTAGGTAGGTGGATAGGTAGACAGACAGAAAACAGACAGACAGATTAACGGAATTGGAAGGGACCTTGTAGGTCATCTAGTCCAACCCCACCCTGCCCAAGCAGGAAACCCTACACCATTTCTGACAGAGGGCAGTCCAGTCTGTGCTTGAAAGCTTTAGCCGGACTTAAGAGATTACCAGATGTGGAAGGGACCTTATAGGTCATCTAGTCCAACCCTTGCTTGAGAATGAGTTGTGCTGAACGATACTTTGTCAAGGGAGTATTTGGGTTCCCAGGAAGAGGGAGCATTTGCTTTAGGCTTGGCTAATGTCACCACATTACCAAAAAAGATGTTGAGACCTTTGGAAAAAGTTCAGATAAGAGCAACTAAGATGATTAAAGGCCTGGAGACTAAACCATATGAAGAATGGCTGCAGGATTTGGGTTTGGCTTGTCTAAAGAAAAGAATTAAGGGGTGACAAGATAACAGTCTTCCAGTATTTGAGGGGCTGCCTCAAAGAAGAGGGGTGTCAGCCTATTCTCCAAAGCACCAGAAGGCAGGTCAAGAAACAACGGAGGGAAACTAATCGAAGAGAGAAGCAACCTGAATTAAGGAGCAACTTCCTAACAGGGCAGACAATTAACCAGTGGAACAGCTGGCCACCAGAAGTTGTAGGTGCTTCATCACTGGAGGCTTTTAAGAAGAGACTGGACTGAAATGGGATAGATTCTCCTGCTTGAGCAGGAAGTTGGACTAGAAGACCTCCAAAGGTCCTGATTTGTCGCTAAGTTTCCATCCATCGTTTCTTATCTGGTGCTTTGGAAAATAAATTGACTGGGATAGTGCTATCATGTGCCACCATGTCTTTCTTTTCCCTAGACTGGCCAAACCCAGTTCCTGCAACCTTTCTTCATATGTTTTAGTCTCCAGGCCTTTAATCATCTTAGTTGGTCTTCTCTGCACTTTTTTCCTAAAGTTTCAATATATTTTTTGCAATGTGGTGACCAAAATTGGTGGCAGTATTCCAGGGGTGGCCTTTACTAAGGCTTTTTAAAGTGGTACCAATACATCACGTGATCTTGATTCTATGCCTCTGTTTATGCAAACCAGGATTGCATTAACTTTTGGGGCTGCTGCTGCTGCACACGGTTGGCTCATATTGAAGGGATCATCCACTAGGACTCCAAGGCCCCTCTCGCCGTTACTGTTTTTGAGCTAGGTCCAAATAATCTGTACTTTCTACCTTCGTTTTTTTTTCCTGCCCGGATGTAAAACCTTCCTTGTAGAAATCATGGGCAGCAAAAGAGGGTTTTTTAAACGGGCTTTTTGAGACAGGAGGCCCCGGTGAAAGCAGCTGGAAGCATGGAAAGGAAAGGAAAACTTTTGAATCTGATCAGATTCAGGAATTATTGGGGGCTTCGACAACTATTTCCTTGGCTGCTTTTTCCCTCGAGATAATCCTGGTTTTGGGATTGTCCCTTTTTCTTTTTAAGGGGCTAATATTTTCATTTGTGAATGAAGGTCAACTTCTTCGCTGAGAAGTGGTGAGATCTTCAGCATAAAACAGAAGCTCACTTTTCTATTTTATCTCCAAAGTTGGTGTCGAAACACTGTGGTTGTTGATAATATTAACTTGGCTCATTTTGGAGGGCAACCGTGAGTTTGTTTGTTTGTTTAAATAAATTTCATTAATCATATTTTCATCGTAAAAACACATTTCCACTCATTACAGTGTTTCAATATCTGTGTTCACTCACATTGATATCCTATCTAATAATGTAGGTTGCTACTATATATTACATATCTGTTTTTACATTGAATATAAATTGAATATTTACAGTCTTACAAACAGTATTTATCTCAGCTTGCTATGGCTTCTACATACCCTTCATCTATCAGCTTTGCATCTACCTTCCAACCGGTTGTACTGTAAATTCCGAATCTTATAGTACTCCATTTCTTCTCTATCCTTTAATTCCACCACTAACTTATCCATCTCTGCACATTCTAAAACCTTTTTATTAGCATTATATCGGAAGGAGTATGGTCTTGTTTCCAATTCTGGGCAAAGGCAATTCTGGCCACGGTTATTATATGAAGCCTTATGTATTGGATTTTTTTTTCAAATATTATCTCTCAATATACCCAATAAAAATATCTCAGGTTCCATCTCAATTTTTTTGTTTTGTGATTTCTTCAAGCCAATTCTTAATTGTGCACCAATATTTCTCAGCGTTGGGGCA